TGATATTGTCGGAGTGACGGCCATGGTGTCATGCATTGCAGTGGCAGTAGTTGGGGAAGTTGAGATTTAGGTGACAGGCATTATTGTTGTACAAATATAAGTCAACAGTCATGTTTAGTAAGTAAATCGTAAACATTACATAAATACGAAAAATGTTGAAGTGTTGCACAGGGGGACGAATATATTGGTACAATATTCGGTGTAGTGAAAAAAAAAACGTCAAGTTTATGATAATTGATTGTAATTTACAAACGAAGTACTCTCTATTTATTTATTTATTTATTTTCTTAAAGGGGGGACTTGTTCTGAAATGGCACAATTTCGCCAAATCAGTGCAAGGGCGAAATTTGTAGTAGAATAGTACGGAAAAAAAATTTTTTTTTTAAATTTTTTTTTTACTAGGGCTGCTTAATAGAAAAAAAAATTTTATTTCTGTGAATCGCCAATTCAAAGAAATTATGTATGTTTTTAGCGCGGTTGCGGCATGAGAAAAAAAATGGAGAAGAAAGAAAAAAAAATTCAAACTTACTTGCTCTGTTAGTCAGAGAGATAGGTTTCACAGTTTACAGTTCTTCAGAATCTGTGCTATCGCTGTCCAGATTCTGGCTGTGGAGCTGTAAACTTTCAGGGCGACTAACAGGATGTTCGTCATTTGATAATGTTTCCGAGGGTATTGGTGAGTGTTGAATTGATTGATGGGAAACGTTATCAAATGAAAAACGGGAACAATAGATTTTCAATCTATTGATATGAACAGTTTGACTGTTTTGTTTACCAGTCAAGCTTTTGATAGTAATATTAGGACGATTTACGCTTTCTACGAGGTAAGGTCCTTTCCACTGAACTGAGAATTTTGGCCTGACAGTATCGTCGTGTAATAGCACAAGATCTCCAGTGGAAATTTCCTTCGTAAAAACTTTATGCTGAAAATCGTATCCTGCTTTGTACCTTGCGGCTTTTTCTGCAAGTTGCTTTCCTACTTCCGTTATAGTTGTTTGGAGCGCAGTTGTGAGTTGATCAGCAAAGCTATCCGAAGCATACGAAATTCTGGATGGAAGTTGGTGCACAATGTCGCACCAAGTTATGGGATGTCGTCCATAAGCGATGAAATATGGGCTGTGACCTGTGGTGTCATTAACGCTGGTATTATATGCGAAAACAATAGGCTGAAGAAAATCAGACCACATATCGCGTGCTTCCGAACAGTAAGCCGTAAGGGAATCGGTGATAACTTTGACTAAACGCTCAACTTGCCCATTTGCTTTATGATTATAGCTGGTTGTAAAAGAGTTTGCAATTCCCAAAACGTGGTTGATTTGAGCGAACATTTCACTCGTATAATTAGATCCACGATCGGAAACGATCTCGTTAGGTATGCCATGTTTGGAAATAACATCATTAACGAGAGCTTTTACAACTGTATCAGTCAACTGATTTGGAAGTGGAGTGCATATGATTAGTTTGCTAAATGCGCATACAGTTATGGAAATAAATCTACTTCCGTCAATACATTGGGGAAGTGGACCCACAATGTCGGTGTGTAGACGCTCAAATGGTCGCTGAGGTATTGGAAATTCTCCTAATTCCTCACGAATAATATGACCAGATGGGGTCTTAATTTTCTGGCAAACAGGACATGAGTTTACAAATTTGGCTACGTTTACAAGCATTTGGGGCCAGAAGTATTTAGCTTCAATAGCCTTGCGTGTTTTTCTAATACCTAAATGAGAGCCTAAAAGGGGGTTGTTGTGAAAAATTTGGATGATTTTGAGTTGCATTTCACTATCAGGAATTACTAATAAAGGTCCTTTCTTCGATTTGAAGTAGAGACAATTATTATAAAGTGCGTAATTGTCTAGGGTGTCAGAAAATTCTTGTAAAAGAGTTTCGTCGAACTCTTGTTCTCCGCGCAAAAACTTTATCACAACGTTCCATTTTGACTGAGTTTGCGAACGTCGAATTGCATCTAAAGTTGGCAGAGAGTTGACCTGTATCGCATTTGTGCAAACGGTGGGGTATCTGCTGAGAAAATCACACAATTGGTTGTGTTTCCCTGCACGATACTCAATTTTAAGGTCGTAAGCCTGAATGCTAATTTGGTATTTAGCTAGCCTACCGACCAGATCAGATCGGTGCATCAATGATTTGAGAGGAGCATGATCTGTTACCAAAGTTATAGAAGCGTTTGCAACGTACGGATAAAAATGTTTTAACGCGAATACGATTGCTAAAGCTTCCAGCTCTATAATGGCGTAGTTTTTCTCATGTTTTGTGAGGGGACGACTACAGTAAGCGATTGGGTGCTCTAGGCTATTTTCCAAATCCTTCTGCAGTAAGCATGCCCCTACGCCAATTGTAGAAGCATCGGTATGAATGATGTATGGTTGTCCTAACGTCGGTGGGACGAGGATTGGTGCCTTTACCAGAGCACGTTTGAGGGTTTCGAACGCTTGCTGATGTTCCTCAGTCCATTTGAATGAAACATCTTTTTGCAAGAGTTCGTTGAGGGGAGTAGCAATAAATGAAAATCGTGGGATGAATCGTCGAAAATATGAAGCCGCTCCTAGAAATGATTTTACGGCCTTAGCGTCGCTTGGCTGCGGTATGTTTATGATACTAGCGACTTTGTCTGGGTTTAATCTAGTGCCTTTTTTACTTATTAAAACTCCAAGGTACTGAACTTCTGCTTTGAAGAATGAACATTTTTCGGGGGTGAGTTTCATTCCAAAATTACGAATCCGTATGAAAACTTCTTCTAAATCTTGAAGGTGTTCTTTGACGGTTTGGCTTGCGATGATTATGTCATCTATGTAGGCAAAACAGCAAGCACGTAATTCGCGTATTAAGGAATTGGCTACTCGTTGAAATGTACCAGGCGCACCTTTTAGGCCTTGTGCCATTACAGTAAATTGGAATAGTCCAAGAAATGATGTAAATGCAGTACGTTCTTTATGTTTAGGTTCTAAAGGAATTTGGAAAAATCCGCTTTTAAAATCAAGAACGCTGTAAAGTTCTTTGCCTCCAACAAGATCTATGATATCTTGTATGTGTGGGATGCAATATGTTTCATTTTCAGTAATGGCATTAATTTGTCTATAGTCAACTGTGAAGCGCCACTGGTCTTTGTTGGATCCTTTCTTAACTAAAACAATGGGCGAAGCAAATTTGCTGGTACTGGGTTCAATGATACGTGTACGCAACATTTCTTCAATTTGGCGTTTAATTTCTTGTCTCTTTTCAAGAGGGACTCTGTAAGGTCTTTGCTGAGGTGCTTTGGCGTGAGGAACGAAATTGATATTATGTGATATAGGACCATTATACCGACCTAAATTACCGTCGGCGCCTACAAAACAAGTTTGATATTTCGCTAATAGGGCGTAAAATTGTAAGATTTGTCGCTGTGAAAGTGATGAACTATCAAACTTGATACGGTCTTGTATGGGAATTACATTATTGGCTGGAAAGTGTGGCATCTGTTTGCTTATATCTGCTTCCGGTGGTATATACTGTTCTAATTCTTGTAAAGATGGCAGAATGTCATTAGGTTCCTCTTCAGGAATTACTGAAAATATTGGAGGCCATTTCATGTTAATTCCTACAAAGTTTGCATAAGCAATTAATTTCTTTTTCTGAAAGTGAATTGGTACCGGATTAGAGTTAAAAATTCGTAAAATAACTTTGTTATTATTGTTTGTTGCAGAAAGTGTTTTTCCGATAGCTACTCCAAATGGTAAAGTAATAAAATTGTCATCACAAATGAAGAATTTGTCGGGATATCATTTCACCATATCTTATGCCTCGTCATGCTTCCACTGTTTACTGGACACGCCACCCCGCCTACGACACAGTTGCTGTTGTACGAGTATAAAAGACAGCATGAATAACTCTTACACACACTCCCTCTCCTGGCTGGTCATCCTCATACCAGTCTACCCTTCCCCCCTTTTCCTCTCCTTTTATGTAACTTATATAATAAACTAATTTATAATTACTTATGTCTTGGACACAGTACAATAACACCGCTACACCATCAGGCAAAGGTCTGTGCACCCCTTTAACCTGATATGGAGGTCCCAGGGAGATATCATCCCGCAGATAGACAAAATTTTTTTTTTCTTTCTCTCTCTCTGAAAAATTAAAAAAAAAAAAAATCACCACCCCCCACCCTCCTCCCAATCGACATACCACCCTTCTTCCAATCGCCTTACAATCCCCCTTCCTCAACCATGGCAAGGAAGCTCGAACGACATGTGAGTATTTTTTTTAAATATTATTACCACTAACCGATAATGGTGTGTTCTAACATTAACCTAGAGCAATGTGAGAATTGCCTTCATAAAGTCCTGCGGGCGGGTACCTTAGGTCAATAAATTATATATTTCATGCATGTAAAACGCGGATATTTTCGAAAAATAAGTTTCGTGCCGATTTATGATTGAACGCAATTTTTTTTTTACGCGCAATTCACAGTAGATTTGTTTACAAATTCACCGTGATCCGTGACTTACGTAATTAATTTAGAGATGAAAAGTATTGAATATAAATTATTATTTTGCGCATTAAAGAATGAGGGTATATTAATTCTAATTATAGCTAGCATATCGGGATTTATCCCTTAAATTTATACAATTATTATGAAATTCAAAAGGACTCGCTCGCGAAAACCGGTAATGTATGCATACAAAATCTGAGATTGGCTATACAATATAGCACGTGAAGGCGTTGACATTTATCAGCTCGCCCGATTCACGGCGCATTGTTTGGTGAATAGATCATTGCATCTCTCAGACAGCGCAACCTCAACAAACCTCAGCTAGCAATAAATTCTCTCGTGGATGACGAAAACTCACAGGTGGCCGCACGAAATATTTTGCTCGGAACGCCATTATCCGCCATTAATCAAGCGCGAACAAATGGCCGAGCCCAGAAATATTTACGCGGAGGAACCCCACCTAGCAATTAATAAGTCGCGAACAAATGGCCGCAAAGATAAAAATATCCTAGCGCATCAGGCGCCGGCTTTCAACGTTGTTAAACACCGAACGTATGGTATATAAATCCTCTCCTAACGTGAGCATTTCCTGAAAAAAAAATATAAATAATCAAATAAATACATAGATCAATAATAGAAAATAAAATATTTTTACTGACCCTTTGTAATTCCCCGTGAAGTTGGCGATCACTCGCCGAATTCTTTTCATATCTGGCCCTCTCTTTGTCCAGTTGCCACTGCAACGACTGGATGTGCCGATCTTTCTCCTTACAGTCATCCCGCAGGGTATCACAAGTTGCCCATAAGTGGGTTCTCCCACTTACGGTGTCCCGTGCACGATCCACAGCTTCCTCGGCTTTGCGTTTCTCCTCCACCAGATCTCTCTCGAGTTTTCTAATGATGCTTTCAAGCTTGAGAATTTTGTTAGTCTAAATTAAATTAAATTAAGAGTAAATAATTTTTTTGTTCAAAAAAAAAACCTACCTCTTCTTCATTCTCCGCCTGCATGTTTTCAAGGCTGGGAGAACGTGAGGGCTGTTCGTGGTTGGGACTAATTGGTGTCCATTCCTGGACACCAGCTACATCCCAACTATCAGCAGGGGATTGAGCCATTTTTTTTTCTCTCTTCTAAATATATATATACGACGATTAAAACAAAAACGACTTTCGAGTATATATATTAAAAAAAAAAGAGAGAGTATAACTAAAAACAATGAGATAAAAGCGAATTCTAAGATAAGAATCTCATAACGGAGACTTTTAAGCAGAGCACAAGCCAATAGACTGGCTGCTCGTGCCGTTCCCCCGCTATTTGTAGCTCCAATTTGCAACCTTGATTTATTGAAAGCGCACCTGCGACCCCGCGAAAGCGACCTCGCGAAAGCGAACCCGCAAAAGCGAGGAAAATATAACGCAGAAAAAAAAAGAATGCGTTTCTTCTGCAATTAATCTAAACCTCACTTATTACAATATCACATCCAAAAATAGATTCTCCATCCTAATACTGTGTAATACAGGAACCAAACTCGTAAACAAAACCATTAGGAAGATTTCTTCTGCAATTAATCTAAACCTCACCTATTACAATATCACATCCAAGAATCCAAAAATAGATTCTCCATCCTAATACTGTGTAATACAGGAACCAAACTCGTAAACAAAACCATTAATAAGAGCAAAGACTAATTTTTTCCGTCAAAATATTTACCAGTTTCTCGGAATATTTGTAACATTACACCAATTCCCACACATATTACAACTTTTGGATACCTATATAAACCTTACCTTCGACAATCCAGTACCCACATCCACTACTTGGTGGCTCTCTATTTTTTTTTTCTCTGCAATCTCTTCGCCGACGTTCACTCTCTCAACCAAATCGTTTAACAACTAATCTAATCCGATATCAACTTCCAACCTCATATAAGAGTACGATCTTAGTGATATTCATTCATACTATTAGTAATCTCATCTTAGTCTTAACATACATACCTATTTTAATCAACAAAAAAAAATAAATAAATCTTTTTTTTTCATTTCTAACAATAACAGCTCGTCTAAGAGCTAACTAACTAAATTGACTTCTTTGTATGAACAGTTCAGACAGAAGAACTCGTTCTCATTCTCGAATCTCTCATAAACAACCTAAAAAGGACAAAAAACATCTAGAATTTTTACTATACGATCGTGCTGTCTCTGAACCACCAGTAATTCATAGAACTCGCTCTCATTCTTTAATAGCCACATCTCCAGTCTCATATTCTCCCCCTCGACAAAAACATCTCAACTTCGATTTAAGACTTAAAAGCCCTTCTGAAACCAAAACAGGAACAATAGGGGTGATTTTAAGCAAACTTTCTAATCCTCAAGCAACTCAGCCTAGAGAACGTGAAATACTTGAGGAACCCATAGAAATAGATCCACATCCTGAAATGCAATCCAGTCAATTGGTAGACCGTCTAGATGACGTTTTTGACAAACTGTGCCTCTCCTCATACTCAACTAAGCTTCCAACCTTTTCTGGTGAACAAGGTGGACAAGGCTTAATGAACTTTATACAGCAATTCGTTGAAATTAGTGACATCATGGGTTTAACCCCACAAAAGAGAGCACGCTTACTACCCGCTCACTTAAAAGGCACTGCAAAAGCCGTTTTTGACAATTTTCCAAAATTCAAAAAGGAAAATTGGCAGTTAGCCGTTAATGAACTTGGTAAACATTTCTCCACTGATCATTTTTTGGATATGGCTCGCGAAAAACTCATGGAAATGAAAATGAAACCTGGCGAATCGCCAACACTGTTACTTCTGAGTGAGTAAACGTAATCAAAAAGCCGCGGTTTTTTTAAACAATCAATTATAACGAATTTGGAAAACGTCATCCATGTAATCTAAAATGTGTACAATGTAGTCAAAGATTTGCTCTACATAACAGTTACTAGCGCTCTTTGAAAACATCAGTACAAAAATTTTCAAATTTTAGGAAAGATTTGGTGTTACTGCTGAGCTGCTCAAAAAGTCATGGCGATAACAATGGTACCTAAGCCGCCCATTAATTGGTGTTCCGTGAATTTTAGTGAGCGATGAAAAAACGGGCGTACACATAAACATAGACACTAGAAAACTGCCTGTATTTTGTTCATCTTTATGATTTTTATTCAGTCACTTCCTGTATTTCTATCAATGTATATATACATATATTTCCGCACAAAAAGCTTTATAAACCTTTTGGATTTCCTATAAAATCCCGGGAACAACATGAATGAGTTTTCAGTTGTTAATAATGAAATTCTGCCAGTCCACCACATTCCGTTATGTGAGCTATGACGGACTAGTGCAAGAGATTGACTTACACGGATAACTTGGATTATCAGTTTGGAGAAGGGCGCTCGCACTCCACCCAGTGCGACAGCGGTGAAGGCATGGCCAGATTGTCTTCCCATTTGACTTTCACGGTGAATCCATAGGGTATCGAAGTTCTGGGTAGGGCTGACAAGATGTTCCGAGTAATCTATTTGTGATCTACTTGCAGCAAGTGTTTCTTGCTGCAATTGAATAACGTTTCGAAGAAAAACGAGAATTTATCATTATTAAAACCGACTCGATAATTTGGGGGGGGGGGGGAGTCAGGATTCCTTCCCTTATTCTCGATTTATTTTTTATTCATATGGCTGTTATATGTTTGCTCGTTTTTTCTTCTATTTTTTTTCTTTTCTGGTGCACATCTATCAAAAAATAATGTAAACAAGTAAGTGCTTTGATTATTATTGCATGAATGTAATACTGTACAAGAACGTATGGAGCAGCAGTGAACTGCATTCAAAAATGCTTCAAATAGTCAAAGTAAAACTGAAATTAGGAAGCACCTACTGATCAAACTTCTGAATTCCTGTCATTAGCACTAGGAGGTAGGTATCTACTACTCATGTGGCTGTATGCTAGAAAGAACGTAAAGAATTCGTAACATACGTTTTACATTACTCTGACAAAAATTCGAATCCAATATTACGATATTTTGCAGTAAGTTTACAGATGCCAAATTATTTCAAAGCCAAACAGCAGTTGAAAACTATCAGGTTGCCCTTGAGTTTTGTCCGCTTTGATTTGCACCGCAATAAGTCATGCACTTTTCAAATTTAAATAGGTTTTAAAGCATCATTCGATAGGACAAAGCAGTTCTTAAACAAGGTTTTTTTATTTTGCGCCAACTTTGATCCACCTGGAGTTTGAAGCTAAAAACTAAAGCGATCAGTTTTCTACGGTTCGAGGAAAAATGATGTCTGTAAAAAATAATCCTACAATCTTCGTAACCTGCTCAAGTATACACTTTCTACGTCATTCATAAATAAGTTGCTGCATTTTCTTGTCAGTCAGAAAACAGAGAAAAGGAAACTTTTATGCTTACCAAAGTAATCACCTGCTATTCCCACTTGAAAGCTACCAAGAATAGCTTTCTCTACTCATTGTCTCACATTGAAGTACATATTTCCGGTGAGCTAGAGCTTTGGGGAAGCTGAAAGTTTACGTCATACTTCTATAGGTCTGTAGTATACAAACACTTGTGTGGGAACAGCCGAGGATTGCCTTGGCAAAAGCACAAAAGATTTCGTTTGACTGTAACCGAGAAAAAATACAGCAATGGTGTATGTAAATGTTTGATATGGAAAGCTTATACGTGAGCAGGTTAGGAATTTTGTATTATTTTTTCGTAGAATTAATTTTGGACTTTTTTTCGATTTTCCGAGCAATGAATTATTTTGGTTTTTGATTTCAAAATCAAGATGGATCAAAGCTGGTGATGAGAGATGCATGACTTACTGCGTGAAATTCAAATAAAGCGAACTTGTAAGACAACCTGATATATTCATTTGTAAGGTACTACTTACATGCAGGAAAACTTCCAAGAAACAGAAAAATTTTAATGAGTAGTATCGCAGAATCGCGATACTACTCATTAAAATTATTTTGTATTCTGATCGCAAGTCATCAGAACATGAAATAATGCGCAGCTGCGCAACTCGCAGCTACGCGAAGACACAGCTGCAAAGTTAACATGTGTGCGGTTGGAGGGCCGGCTTTGCTAACTTCACTTCCATCCAGACAGCGATCGCGACTCGCCTCGTCAGAAGTATCATCTTCCCGTTATCGTCAAGTAACCTCATCATCACATATCTTCTCCTCATTTATTTGTACTGTGTTATCCGTAAAGAAGTCGTGGTCAAGAACAACGGCAAGTGGTCAGATCTAACACAAGTAGCTTAGAGTAATTCAATCTACCAAAATCGCAGCAACTGTTCATCTTCTTCCATTATTCAAACAAAGCAAAAGTGTGCTACAATACAATATATGACTAGTAGGATTGTACCGAGAATTTTTCGGATAAGGAAATAGAAAGTTGGAATGTCGTGTATAAACTCTTATGGTGAATGCAACTCGAACGGAAGAGTGGAATAGCAACTACTGCTAATGACATAGTACACTTCTGGCCATCCGTACGAGTAAAGAAAAAAGTCCCGTGCTTCAGACAGATTTTTTGGCAGATTCTCCACACTCGCCATATTGGTATGAAAAAGTTATTGACCTGCACCCAAAGGTTTGAGATTAGATGGTTCATAGATCGCTCCAGAAGGTGCATTAGCATCAAGCAAAACATAGTCGGAAAACAAGCTCGATGGAGATTACGATTACATGTTACCAGTTGTGTTCGTCAGTAGCTATTTTTTTTTGAAAAAGAAAAATAAGATTTTGTGATTGCTGCCGGCGTGCCAGTGGACCTCCTGTCTTTGTAACAAATTTAGAAGCTATAGAAGCGCAGCAAGGTTATTTTCTATCCACCTGTCTTTTATATGAGTACTGTTCAAATTTGATTGATGAAACATTTTCTATGCTTCTTAGACTTTCTACCGTCCATTATCAAAAGCTTTTTAGGTGCTACTCAAAACGACACAGTTTTTCGCTGCCAAAAAGCCGTGAAATCTCATAATTCTAAGAGGGCTTGCTTACATCCAAGCATTCTTTGTAAAACCTTTGCTCAATTTACTATCTTATCTCTTTCCTAAATCTTGACTGACTTCATTGTCAATTGCAGGAGTAAATCAAGATTCACGAAGTGAA